ACATTCAGTTGACTTTATGTTCTTCAAGCAAGTAGCAAGCGAACTCCTTTGGTATAGAAGTTACTTTCTATATTTGATTCCAAGTTCATTTAGTACCTGGTTGGTGAGCCAGGGTGCTAGGACATTTGCTCATGCAGCATCGTGAATAAATCTGCTGTAAGGCTATTAAATGACTTTTGTTTCTCCATTGTAGGTATGGAGGCTGTTGGAGAGGTAATTGCTGTGGGCGCTGTGCTTACGGCAGGGAAGTTGGAGATATCGTGGCTTATGCTGGCAATCCAATGGGTTCATATTCGAAGAGCAGATCCTTATTGCAAACAAAGTGGTTCATACTTACAGTTCAGTTTCTACTTCGTCGTTGCTTCAAGGTAGGTATCATGATTCATGGCATCTTGGAGCATTTGCTCTTCCAATTTCCATTATCATGGTACAAAATAGTTCTTGGCCAGAAAAAACATAATCTAATTAAGTTATCCTTGAATGGACGTCTCTTTACGGCTAGCAAAAACAAAAAAGTTTGGCATATGAAAGACTGTTCGAATAAAATGCCTTCATCAGAATGTTTTATTTATTCAAATTTAATATTTTAGTAATTAATAATGTGTAGCAGGTGTTGGATTTGGTGGAGAAAGGCAAAAGGAATTAAAGTCGGCAAATATTGAAGCTCAAAGATAAAAGTAATTAAAGAAATGCAGGAGCAAATAGTCAAAAAAGAGGCTTTTAAAAGGCTGAAACATGATTAACACCACTCTTCACGTTCACTAAAAATAGTAACTAAGCATACAATAGGAACTAAACAGCTAAATACATTTAGACTCTTTCAACCAATGTCTAAAGATTATTAACCTGCTGACTAAAAGGATCATATTCGGGGATCACTGGCATGCTTAAAGCTAACATACTGAATTTTGGGCAGTCTTCTACAAACACTAGATCCAGTTCCCTTATCAGTACTGGCCCCAAAATCTCTGTTCTTGACGGGGCCTTCCTCATGCAATACACGACAACACTGGATGAGCTGCTGCGGAGGTATTGCCGACGTTGCATCAGGTGTCTTGCTAGTTCGTGTAAGTCATACATACCCCTGGGCACATGCAGAACTGTTTCATGTTCACAGAACAGATAGAGATTGTTTGGTTAAGTGCGTTGTGAGGCTTGCTATGTATGCAAAGATCCATGTGCAATGACTATACTTTATCACCAAGGGAGTTGTGTGGTTTGTGATATAGTAGCAATGATTAAATTTGTAATTTACTTTAAATTTGGTTTAATTAATTGAATCTTCAATACTAATTAAAGATTAAGTCAAACTCTGCCACTCTCACTCTCTTCTTTCTGTTACACACTTTCAGACAAATCAGCTTTTCTTTATTCTCTGCATTTAGTCAAACAGATTATTTATTTTATTATTATGCAAATAATTATAATTTTACTAAAACGACGCCGCAAACGCTTGTTTAAGCAGACAATTCACTATATACCGAATCTACAGGAACATGCAGGAGCTCTTGTTAAAGAAGAAGAGGATGATGTTGCTGTTGTGAGCAGTCCAAGTTCTTGTGTTACGAGTCAGAACTTTGATAATGACAATTTTGTGCTTCCATGAAGGTAACTGATTAACTAGCCAGTGAACAGTGGATTTGATCCCGAGAGTGTTGTTTATCTAACTCTTTAGGTGTTGGATTGCTTTGTTTTGGCAGGAGATGTATACAGATTTACTGAATAAGAAAGCTAAGATTTAGGAACAAATGATGGAAGTTTCCCATTCTCTTTGTGCAATGGATGTTCTAATGGAGAAGCTAAAATCATCATTGGAGGAAACAAACGAAGAAGAATCAACGGCCAGCAACGATACTACAAATCAAGGTTAATAGGATATAGTTTTGTCTTTTAGGATTAACTTAGAATTATTTTATTGTTTTTATATTATTATTAATCTTTTAATATGTGGATGGATCATGGGATCATATTCTTCAATATAATTCTAGACTGTTAGATCGAGGTCAAGTCAACATTTGACCATGATCCAAGGATGTATGTTAATTTGATGTTTGTGTAGTCAACATTTGGCCATCATAAGGGTTCATGTCAGATTTTGAGGAAAAGCTAGAGGGGCACAGGGACACTATAATTCATTTTCTTTAGAAAACAGAGGAAAACACAGGGACACTGTTTTTGACTGATGTAAATGCTTTGGTGTAATTGCTTGAAGATCGGTGGAAAGCATGACGTGAGCTGTTGAAGAAGATGAATTTGGCATTTTCTCGGGATTGTTTGGTTGCTGAGAAAATGAAGGAAATTCAGGCTTGATGTTATAAGTATTTATATAGAACACAGACTAACATTGACTTATACATTTTAAGTATAAAACTTAAAAGCTGCTGTTAGTTAACAGCAGTTTATTCCTTGACACCATGAAACAGTCGATCAGCTGAATATCATAATAGACAAGGCTAGTCAAATCTCGAGTTTCTTATTCATACCACTCTAATAATAGATTTAGGCCATGGACCAAGTAACATCCACAACACCACCTCAGCATTGAGCCCCAAAGCATGCCATACCGCGCGTCAGACCCATCAACAATATCATTTCTACAAGGTGGCTCTTCATCACATCCATTCACTGAGTCACAATCATCAACAACCTTTGCTATCACATTCTTTCCATTACTAGCCCTTATCTTTATATTCTTCCCACACCTTGACCCTCCATTATACCACCCAGTCGATAGCGCCACAATCAGTTCCGAGTTATTATGATACTTTTCATCACACTCCGATGGACCTCCCCCCTCGCCACCTTTGCTAAAATCATTGTTTGTTTGTTTAGCTTTCGTTGAGGAGGTGACGGTAGGGGAGCATTTGAATTGAGGAAACTTTTTGCTGTTTCATCTTAGTGTACCTGAGGACTGGCATTGACCGCTGGCCGTAGGGCCAGGTTTTGCACATATATGGGTACCAAAGTCGGGATCGTCGTTGCACTTGCCGTTGATGCAAACGAACAGACCGTCGCAGTCGTCAAGGGTTTTGCATGGGCCATTGTAGTGGGAGATGGCATTTGAAAGTGATGGGAGGTTCATGGTAAGAGAAAGAGAAGCTAAGAATAAGATTGTGGTTGCCATGTTTAGCTTGGAATTAGCTTTAAGTTTAAGAGTTAGAGATTGGTGATTGAAGAGAGGGTTTCGTTGAATTTGTTTGAAGTTTGAAGTTCTATATATTTTTTATATTAATAATGACTTCATATATTTGTTTTATCAGATTTTTTCTTTAAACTCTTATCAATAGAACTTTGGTTGATTCAGCAACTTGACAAATGATTAATATATAATTCATTCGAGCTAGACCGACTCTTATCTTTTTCCTTTTTTAACTTGAGTTAGAATGAATATTAGTTAATTAAGTAATTAATTCACTAACTTTCTGTATATTTATCAAAATTCCTGAACTACAATAATTTTTTTTTTTTTTTTTTTTTTTTTTTTTTTTTTTTTTTTTTTTTTTTTTTTGATATTTAACTCTGTAATGGTTTTGAACTTAGCTGAATTTGCCTGCAAATTCAAGCACTCAGAAACGTGTTGAACGTTTGTAAAACAACAGTCTACAATCCATACTCATTGACTCAGTAAGATTCTGGGCTGGGTTTTCAATTTACCATAATTTTGTACAAAATTTTGGGGCTCAACTCTATTTCATCATCAACAGGATTGTCCAGAATTGATCTAATGATCAATAATTCTCACTCTTCGTGTTATGCGTTTGAATTCTACCGAGAGAGGATTTAATTGATAAAGGGAACAGAGCATCGAGTTCGCACAGGTCCTCATGGTGGTGTATGGCTTGTCATTGTGAGCAAAGGTTGTACTTTTGGGTGATACATAATTATAAAAGAAAGGCCTCAGCTATCTAAGATTTTACAATTGGGAAATTACCCTTATAGAACAAATTCATTTTGAAGTTTAATTAGGTATAAAATTATTTTTATGTATATGCAGGTTCGTAGAAAAAACCAACCAAATCCATGGGAACAGGGGAGCTGTTTTTGATTGGCAGAGCTGTATTCTCAAAAAGGCTTATACTTTCTTCAACTTCCAATGGAAGTAGCCATCAATAAGCATGTATTGAAAGTGATAAACAATCCAAGAAAAAGAAAAGAGTTTAATATGTTTTGAACAACACAGTTGATAGAAGTTAAGAAACATGAAGACTATCACAATAACATCAGCAACAATAATAAACTCAGTGGAAATTACGAAGGAATTTTACTAGAAAGTTGATGAACAAAGTGCCTGCAGCAACACTGCATCTCTACCAGCATTTTCCAGAGAATAGAACAATATGACGAAGCTGAACCAATGCAATGCAACACCATTCACAAGAATCTTAAAGGTTTCTTAGAAGCTCAATTCCAACTGGAATCTCTTTCAATTGAAAGTCCAGTCTGGTAGCTTCTATGTCGAGAATTTCATCTCTATTTGTCTATTGTACAGCCAAGGACTCAGGTTTTCCCATCGTAGCAAGGCAAGCTCACAGATCCTTCTCATTTCCATTCGTCATCCTAATGCCTGACATTCTCCAACACTTAGGGTGCAAAGTTCAGTTCAATAATCAAAACGCACTGCTTCAATTAACAGTCCAATTATCAAAACGTAGCACTACAAGTACCAAACTCACCACCTTTCACTCACACTCAGCAACTCAGCATGAACAATAATCCATTAACTCACAACCAAGAAACAACAAGAATAAAAATGGAACAATCTCAGAAGAAAATAACAGATGGTATTAATATTCAATAGAACAGTAGTTCAACAAGCAAAATAAGCAAATAACAACAGACCCCAAATGCAAAATAACGGCTGGACTTCGAGGGCCAGTACCTCCAGACACCTGTTGCTTTTAGTAATTCCCTTTTCTGCCCGTTCCTCTTTTGCATTGTTGAGACACCACGGGTCCATCATAACATTACCAAACTTAACTGATTTTTGAACTGTAAGCTAAAAAGTCAACAGCTCTCATTTCTTCACTTCATCAGGTCAACAAATGGGAAAGATTCTTCAACGTGTCCGCAGCTGTTTGATCTCTGTTCATAGCAATAGATGAAATATAATCAAATTTAAGTAATGAAAAGGTAATCCGTAAAAATAATCCATAATTCATGTTTAATTTATAATTATATATATATTTATGCACATATTTAAAGTCACCATCAAACATTGTCGTCGATCTTAATGGTATCGACAGTGTTGTGACCAGTAACTTCATCAACCAGTTTTCAATCTTTATAACATAAAATAACATTTCTAAATTGGCTTTAAGATCGTTTCTTATCTGGTTACTCACTGACTCAAGTAAGATTCTGGGCTGGGTTTTCAGTTAAAAAAAAAGTTCTAAATAAAATAAATTATTAGAGTTCTTTTAATATTTTTATTTAAGTTTGCATTTATTATGATAATTAGAGTTGCCATTTATAAAATTAAAAAAAAAAAAATCAGATTTAAGAAGTAAATTAAAAAATTATACTTTTTTCTATTAAGTGAAAAGTCAAAACACACCCTAAGTAATTGCCATGAAAAAATTATAAGATTTTACTTTTATAGTTGGACAAAGGATATAAAATTAAGATCAGGCTAAGTCTTTTATAATATAAATGAAATACCTGTTGTTCACGGATGAGAGGACTCGTTACTTCGCTCCACTTTTTCAATAAATTGCTCAAAATCTTCAAGCGAGAGAGACAAGAGATACTTAGTAGTTTCATAAGTCCTTTTTCCTTTCATTTTGAACATGACACCAACATAGGGTATATGTTGGGTAACTTTCTTCCACTTCTCGTCTTTTATCATATAATAAATTTCTTTCAACATAAAATAAAACAGAAGAATCCTTAGGTTTCTTAGATGTTCAATTCCAACTGGAATCTCTTTCAATAAAGGGCATGGTCCAATACGTAAGTCTTCAAGGTTAGGCATCGCACCTTTGTCTATAATCATCAATTCCACTCCTTTAAATTCACTGAGGTACAAAACTTTTAGTTTTGGAAACCAATCTTTTTTGAAATGTAATTGCTCATCATGAGATGTGTTAACTAGCCTAAGCTGCAATAAATTAGGCAGGGCTTGAAGAACTCTTATGTAATCATCAGTTAATCCTGACAAATTCAGATCAATTTTGAAAAGATGTTCAAGTTTAAAAATCCAATCTGGCAGCTTCTTCATATTTCCCATTAAGCGAAGGCACTGAAGACCACGAGGAGGAGAAGTCATCGGTTCTATATCAAGAATTTCTTCTCTACTTATTAGTATAGTTAAAGATACAAGTTTTTCCAAATTTCCGATGCAAGCACATAGATCCTTCCCATTTCCATCTGTGATCTCAATTGCTAACTTTCTCAGATGCCTAAGCTTCATAAGCTCTTTGAGTACTTCGAATTTAGCTTCCACATAACCTAGCTTTTGCAAATCCAATAAAGAGCCAAATCCCGCAGGTATTTTTACCATTCCGTAACGCCAATCACTTCTCACATAGTATGTTAATAGATAACGCAATTTCTTAAGATTCTTGATCTCAACAGGAAGCTCAGTGATAAGAGAAAACTTCAAATTCAAGGTCTCCAAGTTGAGAAGCTTACCGATGGACTTGGGAAGCACTTTTACTTTTGTATTTTTCACACTTAAGTAGTGCAAATGGAAGAGGTTTCCTACTCCTTTAGGAAGATACTCTATATGACTATCTTCAAAATCAAGTACTTTTATAAGTTTGAAATCAACAACAAGGGTAGTCATGAAAGAGTTAGGCAAACTATCAACATTGAAAAGAGAAACAGAACGTATCTTTGAGTCCTTGATGCTCTCAAAAGCACTATCATTACTTCCTTGTATCGAAATCCGCCGAATTTTGTTTGGAAGATTTGAGTGTTCTCTGTTCACAAAATGAGAAAAGCCCAAATATTCGGCCTTTCTAAGGATAATCTCATGCATTAGATCATGGACTCGACAATATCTAGGTCTTCCCATGAAATCCATCTTTACCACTTGAACCAAGCTTCTGTTAATGAGATCAATCAAGAATTCTTCAGCAACTTGTTCAGATGTGCGGCGATTGGAATAAGGGACAAAGCCCTCAGAAATCCACAGGCGAATCAATCTTGCACAATTGATTTCATAGCTTTCTGGAAAAAAACCAAAATACAAGAGAGAAGGTTTGAGATGGTGAGGTAGACCATAATAACCTTCTAATAAAACTTTGTTGCAATCTTTTAGATGAGAATCACTTCCCAACTGTGGCCCCAACTCATCAAGTAACTTTTTCCATTCAAAAGCAACCTTGTTCTTGTTTGAGAGAAGACCACCAACGGCAACAATTGCTAGTGGTAAACCTCCACATTTCCTAAGGATATCACGAGACAGTTTCTCCAACTCGGGCGGACAACACCCTTGAGGACTAAAAGCCTTTCTACAAAAAAGTTCAAACGCCTTATCTGAAGGCAAAGGTTGTAGCCTATGGACATTAACAAAAGGAATCACATCAACAATGCCCCTGTTTCTAGTTGTGAGCATAATCCTACTTCCTTTGTTGTTCTCAATTAAAGCATACTCTATACATCCCCAAAAATCAGTTGTCCACACGTCATCGAACAAAACCATGTAACACTTATCTTTCAATTGTCTCTCCAGTGTGGCAAGCAGATCAGTCTCTTCCATTTTGTCCATCTCTCCATGAGTAGACCCTGTCACACCCTCAAATGCTTGTATCGTTTTTCTTAGTATATCCGTTTTGGTGCATTCTTTCCCAACCGTGATTCGAGCCTGGCAATCGAAATGCTTCTTCACTACATCATTCTTATAAATATTCCCGGCAAGAGTGGTCTTGCCAAGTCCTCCTTCGCCCACAACTGCAATCACCAAACGCTTGGATGTTCCACTCACCAACAAATCAATCAATTGGTCTCTAGTAGATTCGATGCCCACAAGTTCATTGCCTGGGATGAAAAGGGAACAAACTCGAGAATCGTGCGATACAACATCTCCTTGATCTATGTGCCTCAAGTTATAGTCTTTCGCTCTTCTCTGTATATCAGCAAGTGATGATTTGATATCTTTAATCTCAGATGAAATTCCATGACGCACATTAAGTTCCTTAATGAAGCAACGCATTTTACGAAGGAAACCAGTGAGACCTTTGCCATCTTGTTCATGATGCTTCGCCTCACTAAGTATGTGCTCATCTATGACGTCTTCAATGTGATAAGCTTCTTCCCTTACTTGTTTTACCCAAGTACTTACGACACCTCCATCGCTTCCTTCTTCTTCTTCGGCCGCTGCCCTTGTATCTGCATCCCTGAGAAAAGATTTGATGAACTCCAATTCTTTTTTGATGCTTTCAACTTCTTTCTTTACACGTCTCAACAGCTTGGTTTCCTGGACAAGCAAGGAACCCAATGTTGCTATAGCAAAGTCCACTATTAACTCTGCCATGTCTAGTAAGCTTTTCTTGTTCACTCCATCTTAATTGTTAAGATGTATGATAAAGTATACAATGTTTGATTGTTGTGTTAAGAAACCAGTGGGTTGGACACGATGGTTTTGTTGACTAGCTAGTAAAACTTTTGGGATAAGAATTGAACGATGGTAGAGACTCCGTATAACTTAGTTGTAAATTCATAAAGAGCGACAGGTTGTAAATAGGCAACCATTCATAATTCTGTGATTCACATTTGATAACTTTTTTAAATTGTAACATGAATATTATGCCGTTATCGATATCATTGACTATAATATATTTTCGTTCTACAGTTTTTCAATTACATTAACGATAAATAAAATATTTATAAGTGATGTAAATGCATTGGTTAGTGATCATACGAACAAGTGATATCTACTAATATTAGTGATCATACTAATATTATTATTAATAATAAGAACTCTTAAAATTAATTCATATAAAGAGTGCAGTTAACTTTTAATGAGAAATATAATATATGAGAAAGTTTCATGATTTTTTTCTTAACCACCACTGAGTGGTCCAACAGTCAACTAAGACTCTAGAGTGTATTACTCAAGAGGTCTTGAGTTTGATCCATTTTGATTGTTAATAGAGATGGTCATGATCGAGATTTACCTAATTGTTAACTTTAGAGCCCTAAGGAATTAGCTAAGATGTGCGCAAACTGACTTGAATACCCCTAGTCATAAAAAATAAAAATAAAAATTTCATGTCTTCTGAATAATAAAAATAAAATTATAAAATTTGTTAGAAACACGGGATTTATCAAGAAAGTCCTAAATAACTAACAACATAGCACATCTTTCCACGGACAACACGAGCACAGCATCCCAATTGCCAGAGCATGTGACAATTTTCTCACTTTTCAACTCCACTTGCAACTTCTTCTCATTTCTCTTCTAAAGTATACTGTACATTATCCAATTAATTTTATTTTCCAATTTTAACTTATGATAAGAAAAAAAATATTTAATATAATCATGATTTAAAGGTCTATATATATACACACACATATACAACAATCAAATAATTATTAGAAATTTCGTAGAATATTAAATACAATTATAGGGTAAATTATTTAATCATATAGCATTATAAATCTTAATTAAGTAAGCAAAAGACACGCTATCGGCCGCTGATTTTTCTCAACTTTAAATAATAATTAAACATCCAACCATTAATTCATCATCACTGTAACCAATCTAGTTGAAATAAGTAGCAGCCTTCTTCATCTTAACACGACAATAAAAATAAAACTCATTCTTCCCCAGAGTGCGCCTACGTGTATATCGCAACACATTAAATATATATGTCTCACCCTGTTGCGTTTGTGTTGCTGTATAAATTGCCTATTCACATTAAATGAATGAATTGAATTTTATCCTTTATTTTCCACAAGCTAATCTCTTTTGTTGATAAAGAAAATCTGGGCTCCGTTTGGTTCACAATTTTGTGTTTTTGGGAAAAATTTCTTTAAAAAAGATAAAAAAAAGTTGAATTAGGCAGGTATTATGATGTAGGATTTACAAATTATAAAATATGCCCTGTGTTTATTTTTTTACAAAATACCCCCCTATAATAAAACATTAAAAGTTAATAAAAACACCCCCAATCTACCCTCAAATACGGACTGTCGGCCACCACCCCCGGAGGGTGGCCGGAGTCGTTGTATCGGCACATGACCGGCTAGATCTTGCCTGTCGTGCTCCGATATGGCCTTTTCCGACCAGATCCATGATGGATTTGGTCAGCAAAGGCCAGATCTACGGCTAGATCCGACCATTGACGACAAGATCTATGGCTAGATCCGGCCATTGACGGCTAGATCTGACCGTATTTGCTCGTCAATGACGGCCACCAAACGGTCGTCGTTGATGGTCAACGATGACTGTTTATTGGCCATCGTTACCGACTGGTTACGGCCAAAGATTTGGCCGTCAACGGCCAAATCTTTGGCCTTAGATCTGGCCTTTTTCGGCCAGATCCACCGTGGATCTGGTCGAAAAAGGCTAGATCGGCGCACTACCAGCCAAATACAGTTGGTAGTGCACCATCCTACCAGATTCCGGCCATTTTTCGCAGTGGTGGCCGAAATCTGGTAAATGTGGATTGTTGGGGTGTTTTTGTAATTTTTTAAAAAATATTTAAGGGTATTTAATTAAATTAACAAATTTAGGAGGTTTAAAAAAAGTTGAATAATATTGAATAGTATTGTGTGTTTTTGAGTATTTTATTGTTTAACTTTTTTGGAAATACTAAAAGTAGTGGCTTCGTTTGGTTCAAGATTAGGAATATTACTCTTGATATTCCTAAAAAAGTTAAACAGTAAAATACCCAAAATCTCTCATTTTTGGGAATACTATTTTCAATATTATTCAATTTTTTTTAAACCCTCTAAATTTGTTAATTTAATTAAATACCCCTAAATATTTTTTTTTAAATTACAAAAACACCCCAACAATCCACATTTACCAGATTCCGGCCACCACTACCAGAAAATGGCCAGAATCTGGTAGGATGGCGCATTACCGGCTGAATCTGGCCGATAGTGCGCTGATCTAGCCTTTTCCAACCAGATCCACCGTGGATCTGGCCAGAAAAGGCCAGATCTAAGGCCAAAGATCTGGCCGCTGACGGCCAGATCTTTGGTCGTAACACTCGGTCACGACGGCCAACAAACGATCGTCGTTGACCATCAACGACGATCGTTTGTTGGCCGTTGTTGAGAGCAAATACGGCCAGATCTGGCCGTTAACGGCCAGATCTGACCGTAGATCTAGCCTTTTTCGGTCAGATCCACTGTGGATCTGGCCGGAAAAGGCCATATCGACGCATGACCGGTAAGATCCAACTGGTCATGCGCCCATAAGGCGACTCCGGCCACCTCCGGTGGTGGTCGCCGGCTGGGGGTGTTTGAGGGTGGGTTAGGGGTATTTTTGTTAACTTTTAATGTTTTATTATAGGGGGTATTTTGTAAAAAACAAACATAAAGGGTATTTTATTAATTTATAAATTCTACATCGTAATACCAGCCCAATTCAACTTTTTTTTAACTTTTTTCAAAAAACTTTTCCTAAAACCCTCAAATTTTGAACCAAACGAAGCGAGTATTCTCAAGATGCAACCAAACGAAGCCTTGGTTGTCCCCTCTAAGTAAAGAGGGGGCTATATTTTCTCTTCCCAGGAAAAAAATGACGCTCTGGAATAGTTGTCTCTATCCTTGAATTTCGCAATTGCATAAGTATCACCTAGACACCCAAAAGTTTACTAGAATACCAAATTCTTCTTATATAGTTTTAAAAATATCACAAATTCCTTTAAATTTAAAAATATTATCTGAATCAACCCCAATAATTTGAAATTTTTTTGGGATGATTAAAAAATATTTAAATATCAAGCAATATTTTGGTTACAGTTCCCCAAAATGCTTATCAAACATGACAAAAAAAAAAAAAAAAAACAACTATCCACTAAATACATATATAATTTTCGACCATCATTAACGTACCTATGATACTATTGCATGCACATTTATGTTCTAATTAATTAATTTTATGTATTATGTTATTCAAAAAGTAAAACCAAAATGATTGTTTCTTACCTTATCAAAGTTGTACATATCATATAACTTTTTGAAAAGAAAACATTACAGAAAATTTTCTATGGCTACTTTTTCCATAATCAATAATGAATCAACCTTTAGAAGATGGAGTTCTTGATTAATTTGCCTAAGGTTATGTATGGTTTTAAACATATATTAAGACCATCAACAGTTTATCATCAAAGGGATTCTCCTGTTAATAACTAACAGTAACCATCTGTCTATGGTGATTAAAAAATCACACAAAGTCCACGATCTAACATTTGCCATCTTAAACAAGAAGAAATCGACTGTGACGATAAGCTGAGAAGGATAAGAAGAAAGAGACTCAGAAAATGTAAAGTTTGAGAGGTTTCTTCCTTTTTCCCTCAATAGTTGACTATGAATAATAAAATAGAAAAAAGGACATCCAAGAGTCACGTGTTCATTATGAGAGATAAAGAAAAAGTAAAATGAAAAATGGACAGTGTACTCATAAAGCAGAGAGTCCAGCTGTGTCTGCAACTTTGGTTTTAAAGTCATGGCTCCACCCTTGCAATAGTTCAAACTTCAAATCAAATGAAAAGAGCTAAAAGCTTTGGTTGTTTTTCTAATGTCTTGTTTTCTCTTCCTAGTGGTCCATAGTGTGTTTGTCTTAATTAGGGATGAGCACGCGTAGCAGACAGAATAGAACCTGGAGGTAGAACCGAAATTAGGATTGAAATTTACCTAGAACCAACATTATATGGATAGATTCCGGTTCTTTTTTTTTTGGAGTAGATATTGTGCGGATTCGATTTCGATTCCTACATGTGGAGGAACTGGAATCATAATCAAAACCGGAATCGAAATCTGGAAAAAAAAAACCTATAATGGGTACCCAGCTTGGAACCTGCAGCAAGTACCCAATTTAGAACCTGTTTTGGAACCTGGGCTAAAATGAAATATCTGTGAAGAAGGGGGTCTAATTTCACATATAAAAAAATTGAAATAAGTTTAAATTTTTACAATAACCTAATTAAATAAATATACAATTATACTTATTACATATAAACTACGCCATATAAAAAGCATTAATATATTATAATATATTAATATTAAAGTTTTGATGAATTAAGTATATAATTAGAATTAGGACCAATTAAAAGTGTTTTAATGTTATTAAAATAATTATTTTTGAATAAAATAATATATTTGATTGAATAATAATATAATATTTAGTTATTTACTTCAATTATCAAGTTCTAAGTATATCTATAATAAATTAGTAATTAATTAATTATATATGATAGATTGATAAATATTAATACATTATTAGTTAAATGTTTACTTAATTAATTATAAGTTTATAACACTACATTAATAATTTAGTACATCACTTAATTAAATAATTAGAAATTTAATTAATTATAACATTACATTATAAACAAATGATTATTTAATTAATTATAACATTCTATTATAAACATTAGTACAATACTTAATTAAATGATTAGAAATTTAATTAATATAATAATACATTAAATATTTACAATATGATTACTTAATTTATTATAACATTACATTATAGTATGATCATATAATTAATTATAACATTACCTAATTAAGTGATTACTTAATTAATTATGATATTATATTATAAACATTAGTAATTTACTACATTAATACAATACTTAATTAAATGATTATAAATTTAATTAATTATAACATTACATAATTAAATGATTACTTAATTAATTATAACATTATATTATAAATTATAAATATTAGTAATTTACTACATTAGCACAACACTTAATTAAATTATTAGAAATTTAATTAATTAACACATGACATTATGGTTAAATAATTACTTAATTAATTATAACATTATTTATAGTATGATTACTTAATTAATTATAATATTCCATTATAAACATTAGTACAATGCTTAATTAAATGATTAGGAATTTAATTAATTATAATAATAAATTATAGATTTATAGTATTTAATTAATTGTTTGTGTTTTGGTTTTGATTGAGGAATTTTATGTGAATTGTGATAAACTGATTGAATTCAAGTGTTGCCTAGAGATTAGATAATTTATGAGTCACATTGGACACAAATGAATGAGTAATCAAAATTTTTTAGGGGTGTATTTGTAAACTTTTAAGGTATTTTTGTGATTTTTTAAACTAATCGGAGGGTAATTATTTTTTACATGATACCCGGGAAAGGAACTGGAACCTGCATTTTAGGTTCTAGTTCCTGAATTTAAGAACCTGCATTGTACAGTTCCAATTCCATTTCCTTTTTTTAGGAACCTGCACTGTATGGTTTCGTTTCCCTCGAAAAATGCAGGGTACCTGGAACCGCTCACTCCTAGTTTTAATAAATTTCCAAGCATCAACCCAAGTCATTTGACTTCTACTAGCCTATATAATTAGTCGGGCACCCTCCACGAAATTTCACAGAAGAAAATTGAATGATAATCCAATCTATGATTTGATTAGTGATTGATTAATTAGTTTAACAAAACTCAAGAGATAAAGGGTAGACAACAAACTGATCAACTTATAAATATTATTCTATATTGACTTCCAAGAAGCAAAACATATATGCATGTTATTTTTGTCGATTTTTCCTTATACATGTTAATCAATTCCCTCAAAATAAAATGAAATCTAGTAAAATTAGAACTTAAAAGTATACATTAGAGTTACGTGGTTCAGGCTAGTAATTGTATTCCTACATCCACAAAAGATGATTATAATCCATTATTTGAAGAGAGAAAACACAAGTGCAAAATATTCTTCTTATACACCCTCAAACAATTTTTGGGAGTTGTATGACACAAGAGCACTTCCCCATCTTTTTTTCTACTCATTTGTATCTTTCACTCCACTTACAAACCCTATTAGGAGTTCTATTCTTTAGAAAAATCCTACAACAACTCTTTATGGTACAAGTCCAAACTGGTTATAGGCTTGGGACTTGTGTGATGAACCGTCCTGTGTGACGAACCTCTTATTGTTAAAGTGATCGCTAACTGTAACATAAATAAACCTTGCTAAAGAAAATTTTGTAGTTGAATTTCATAAAATGTGTATTATAAGATAGAGAGGGGTAAGGGCAAAACTTGAGATATTGATATATAAGATTGAAAACATATACACAACGCTAAGGTTAAACTTAATTATATATAGCACTCTTCATCACAAAGCAAAAGCATTTTTCTCCATTTCATACATTTAATTTGAGCTTCTACAATAACTAATTAACTTCATCTTTAACAGTTTTATTATACCATTATTATTTAACTGATGAAATATATGCATCACAAAATTCATTTTGACAAAGTAAGTGACTAAGTGGGATGACTAAGTGATGGAGGGTTTGATTGTGAGTTGGGGGAAATGATGAACCAAATGTGGTTCCCAAAGGGACCCATTATGGATAGCGGGTGACGAAGAAGGAATCCGATGCAGATGTAAAGAAGATTTCCCGTTTCCCAATTCAAAAGAAACCCACAACTGTCTAGTCCAGACCCAGCACCCTTTAATAAGTGAGGTTACCATCTGTATCGTACAATAATTTATGCAACTTTTATTTTTTAGTACGGTCATGCTCTTGCCAATCTTAAAAAGCTTCAATCACATGAATATTATCATTTTTTTTCCTTGAATAAACATGTACTCATAAACACTTCTCACATGTTTCACTCACAAACATTGATATAGTTGCCCACATTTGGATATAGACAGAACTCATTGTAAGTTGATTAATCATAAACTGACATATCACATTGTATGAGAAAATTAGTGAGAAAAGTTTGTGAATGTAATATTACTGTATTTTCATATACCAACTTCATTTTTCTAACATTCATTACCCTCATATATTCAGTACCATGTATTCCATTCATTCTACACTTTGGCATTTAAATCCAGCTGATCATCTAGCTGTTGAGAAAAAATAAAATATCACCTCAGGAAGAACTCCAGTAACTAGTAGCTAACGAAGCCAGTTGCTATAACGTTTAAAAAAGCAGCTGCGAGTCATAGGCCAGGCTGGTCAGCATCTCAGAATCATCAAAACTCATCCCTCATGCATAGTCTTTGTAGTGTCTACCATTATTGTCTAAAGTCATCTCAACTGTGCCGTCACAAGCAGAGTGTATCATTAACTGCAGAAAACTACAGATCATGCCTTTGAAAGGCTATGTATTAATTTATAGAAGATGATTAATTAATAATTAATAAACTTTATAGAAGATGATGTTATCAATTAATTTGGCTAAGGTTATGTATGGTTTTAAACATATATTACTGTGAAAAAGTTGTACCAGTTAAACCCTTCACCCGCCGTTCAAATCAACAAAGCTAATTTGTGGAAACAGTATTTTTTTTAGCTAGGCTAAACATAAAATTTAACCTTAAGAACAGTATTTGTTGCTTTGTTATATATAATTTTGTCCTTAATTATTTACCTAGAAAAGACTCTGTATACTGTTAGGCTCTCCGGTTTTAGTTTGTCTGCCAAACTTTGAATGTATTAAATGCGTTTTGAATAGCCAACTTTAATTTTTTTCCCACTTCTTGTGACTCAAATCTCTGTATGTTTGAACCTAGCATTGCAAGCACTGGCTGTCCATAAAAGAGCGTTAGGAATATTTAGCTCTTGAGCAGCTTTAAGAGTGAAGCTCATCATGCAATCAGATACTATGCAAATGACTGGAGGAACGTTTGACTCAGATGTGTTGTTTAGACTGAATGTCAGATGGAGGTATGCCATCGGGGATGGTCTCGAAACGGAAAGTGGAGATGCCATTGAGAGAGTCAGGGCCTTGGGTTTTTAGTAGAACACTATGGATAAACTCTGTGTTTACAAAAGTGATGTGAAAGCCTCTGTAGTGCAAAAGTTTTGCTAGTTTAAGGATCGGATGTGCATTTTCTGCAAGAGGATGAACATTTTCTGAACGCAACACAGAACCCATCTGGCACTTAATGAGGCAATTGCTCATCACAAGTCAGTCGCAATGAGAATAAACACCAATAAATTAGGCAGAGCTTGAAGCACTGTCATGGAATCATTGACTGATCCAGCCAACTTCAATTCTAATCTGATTATATTTTGAAGATTAGTGCTACAAACTGGTAGCTTCTTGATATTCACACTCAAGTCCAAGCTTTGAAGACATTGCGGAGAAGAAGCCACGGATTCTATATCAAGAATCTCTTCTCCTCTAATATACTCAACCGTTTAACCTTTATTGCCTAGTCTTTCTTGGCTGGACCGAATTTTTATTAAATCTATTTCAAGCTACACATTATTAATTGTTTGATGAAAACTTAGATGTGGAAGTTTTTTATTCATAATAAATTTCAGTTATTATATTTTGTATTCCAATTTATATCAATGGGATCGAGTTATCACAGATTTCATGGTGGTTTATGGCTTGTCGTTATGAGCAAAGGTTATACTTTTGGGTGATATGTAATTATAAAAGAGAGACCTCAGCTATCTAAGATTTTACAATTGGGAAATTACCCTTATAATATGCAGGTTCATATAAAAACCAACCAAATCCACGGAAACAGGGGAGTTGTTTTTGGTTGGCCGAGGTGTATTCACAAAAAGGCTTATACTTTCTTCAACTTCCAATGGAAGTAGCCATCAATAAGCATCTACCGAAAGTGCTAAACAATCCAAGCAGAAGAAAAGAGTTTAATAATATGTTTTGAACAACATAGTTGACAGAAATTAACAAACACAAAGACTATCACAATAACATCAGCAACAATAATAAACTCAGTAGAAATTAGGAATTTTACTAGAAAGTTGATGAACAAAGTGCCTGCAGCAACACTGCATCTCTACCAACATTTTCCAGAAAATAGAACAATATGACGAAGCTGAACCAATGCAATGCAACACCATTTTCAAGAAAGGAACTATATATATAAGATGGGAAAAATAAATAAATAATATACAAATATAATTTAATATTTAGGTACCAAATTATTTTATGAACATGCAGGTTTATAGTATAAACCAACTGCATCCATGGAAACAGGGTAAAATAAGGGAACTTGTTTTTTATTGGCTGCGAAAGAGAAGAGTTTAATAGCTATTTAACAACATAACTATTACAATAACATAAACAAACAAAAAATCTCAGTAGATTTACAAGTGAGAACTTGGTAAATTACAACTATAAATACTGCATCTCTACTGGAACAATTAAATCAAGTACATGCAGGTTCATAGAATACAACTGACCAAATAAATGGAAACATGGTAAATTAGGAGAGTTGTTTACTATTGGCAGAGGTGTCATACTTTCTTGAACTTTCAAATGGAAGTAGCTATCAATAAACTTCCATTGAAAGGGAAAAATCCCAAGACAATAAATTAAACAACATTACAATAACATCAGCAAATAAAACGTATTTTACATATTACACAAGGAAATTGATGAACAACTGCAAGTAATACTTCTATGTCTTACTAGCATTACCCGGACAATACAACAATCACACATTGCCCACCAATACTACACCATTCACAAGAAAAAAGTATATAAAATCTTGGAATTACCTGGTTTATTCATGATGTTCTCGCAATCCAAGATACATCTTCTGTTCATGATAATAGAAAAAACACAAGTCTTAGTTATTTATAGGATAACAAAATATCATACTTTACTTGATATTCAGTTCTAAAGTGTTAATATGCGTTAAAAATTCATTAATATGTGACCACCTGAACTTTCTCCGTCAAACCCCGGAACGTTGCATATATTGCAAAAATAATTGTAGATATAGATAGATAGATAAATTGAATTATTTTGATACAAATATTGTTACCTAATATAGCCAAATAAATTTCAATGAGGGGATCCACGGTTGTCGGTACCAGATTCTGACAACCAAAACTTAATCAAGTAATTAAGGTAATTTAAAAAAATTATAAGAAATTTTTTATTTACATTTACATTTATTATGATAATTAGACTTGTGTATTTAAAAAAAAAAAAAAAAAAATTATTCAGATTTTTGAAATAAATTACAAAATTATACTTTTTGTATTAAGTGAAAAGTGCTAAAAAAAGGGGGGGAAAAAACAAACAAACAAACAATCAAAACATAGCCTAAGTCATTGTCATGAAAAGATTATAAGATTTTTACTTTTATAGTTGAACAGAAGATATAAAATCAAGATCAAACTAAGTCTTATATAATTAAAATCAAATACCTGTTGTTCACAGATGACAAGACTTGTTACTTCGCGCCACTTCTTCAATAGTTGTAAGAACGAGTTTTCCTGCTTCCATGTAAGTGACATAGACTTTCTGTATATGTTGGGTAACTTTCTTCCACTTCTCGTCTTGTATCATATAACAAACTTCTTTCAACATATAACGGAACATAAGAAACTTTAGGTTGCTTAGATGTTCAATTCCAATTGGAATCTCTATCAACCGAGGGAATCGTCTAATAAGTAAGTGTTCAAGGTTAGGCATTGCACCTTTGTCTATAATCATCAATTCCACTCCTCTAAAGTCAATGATGTTCAAAATTTTTAGTTTTGGAAACCAACCTTCTTTGAAATGTAATTGCTCATCATGGCATGTGTCCCATAGCATAAGGTCCAACAAATTAGGAAGGGCATGAAGGACTCTTATGGGATCATCGGTTAGTCCTGACAAATCCAAAGTAAGTCTGATAATATGTTCAAGTTTAAAAATCCAATCTGGCAACTTCTTCATATTTCCTCTTAAGAAGAGGCGCTGAAGACCATGAGGAGGAGAAGTCATCGATTCTGTATCAAGAATTTCCTCTCTACCTGTCGACTGAAGACTTAGAGATTCAAGTTTTTCCATATTGGCAATACAAGCACACAGATCATTCTCATTTCCATTTTTCACCCTAATATCTAACTTTCTTAGATGCCTTAGCTTCCTAAGCTCTTTGAGGACTTCGAAATTAGCTTCCACAGAACCTAGCTTTTGCAGATCCAATAAAGAGCCCAACCCCACAGGTATTTTTACACTTTCATAACGACCACTACTATCCAAATGGTATATCAATAGATAACGCAATTTTTTAAGATTCTTGATCTCAACAGGAATCTCAGTGACAAGAGAAAGCTTCAAATTCAATGTTTCCAAGTTGAGAAGCTTACCAATGGACTTGGGAAGTACTCCTACTTTTGTATTTTTCACACTTAAGTAGTGCAAATGGAAGAGGTTTCCCACTCTTTCAGGAAGATACTCTATAGGACTATCTTCAAAATCAAGTACTTTTATAAGTTTGAAATCCACAACAAGTGTAGTCATGAAAGAGTTAGGCAACCTATCAACATTGAAAAGAGAAACAGAACGTATCTTTGAGACCTTGATGCTCTCAAGAACGGTATCCGTACTTCCTTGTATTGAAATGCGCCGAATCTTGCTAGAGAGATTTGAGTGTTCTTTGTTCACAAAATGAGAGAAGCCCAAACATTCGGCCTTTCTAAGGATAATCTCATGCATCAGATCATGGACTTGACAATGTCTAGGTCTTCCAATGAAATCTGTGTCTACCACTTGAACCAAGCTTCTGTTAATGAGATCGATCAAGAATTCTTCAGCAACTTGTTCAGGTGTGCGACCTTTGGAATAAGGGACAAAGCCCTCAGCAATCCATAGGCGAATCAGTCTTGCACAATTGATTGTGTAGCTTTCTGGAAGAAAACCAAAATACAAGAGGCAAGATTTGAGATGGTGAGGTAGACCATAATAACCTTCTAATAAGACTTTGTTGCAATCTTTTAGATGAGAATCGCTTCCCAACTGTGACGCCAAGTCATCAAGTAAGTTTTTCCATTCAAAAGCAACCTTGTTCTTGTTTGAGAGAAGACCACCTACGGCAACAATTGCTAGTGGTAAACCTCCACATTTCCGAAGAATGTCATGAGATAGTTTCTCCAACTCGGGCGGGCAACACCCTTGAGAACCAAAAGCCTTTCTACAAAAGAGTTCAAACGCCTTATCTGACGGCAAGGGCTGTAGCCTATGGACATCAACAGAAGGAATCAAATCAACAATGCCCCTGTTTCTAGTTGTAAGCATAATCTTACTGCTTTTATTGTTCTCAATTAAAGCATACTCTATATATCACCAAAAATCAGCTGTCCACACGTCATCGAACACAACCATGTAACACTTGTCTTTTAATTGTCTCTCCAGTGTGGCGAGCAGATCTTTCTCCTCCATTTTGTCCATCTCTCCATTTGTAGACCTTGTCACACGATCAAATTCTTGTATAGTTTTCCTTAGTATATCCGTTTTGGTGCATTCTTTCCCAACTGTGATCCAAGCCTGACAATCGAAATGCTTCTTCATTGTATCATTCTTATAAATTTTCCCGGCAAGAGTCGTCTTGCCAAGTCCTCCTTCGCCCACAATTGCAACCACTGAACGGTTGGATGTTCCACTTACCAACAAACCAATCAATTGGTCTATAGTAGATTCAAGGCCCACAACTTCAGCGCCTGGGATGAGAAAGGAACCAACTCGAGAGTCGTGTGGTATAACATCTCCTTGATCTATGTGCCTAAAGTTATAGTGTTCTGCTCTTCTGTGTATGTCACCAAGTGATGATTGGATATCTTTAATCTCAGATGAAATTCCATGACGCATCTCAAGTTTATTGATGAAGCAACACATTTTACAAAGGAAACCAGTGAGACCTTTGCCATCAGGTTCATGACGCTTCGCCTCATTAAGTATGTACTCATCTATGACGTCTTCAATGTGATAAGCTTCTTCCCTTACTTGTTTTACCCAAGTACTTACGACACCTCCATTGATTTCTCCTTCTTCTTCGGCCGCTGCCATTGTATCTGCATCCTTGAGAAAAGAGCTGATGATCTCCAATTCTCTTTTGATGCTTTCAACTTGTTTCTTTACACTTGTCAACAACTTGGTTTCTTGGACAAGCAAGGAAGCCAAGGTTTGTATAGCAACGTTCACTGAACACTCTGCCATATCTGATAACCTTTTTCTTGTTCACTCCATCTTAATTCTGTGAAAAAGTTGTAGTAGTTAAACCCTTTACCCTCCGTAACTCAAGGGTGGAGATGGGTGCCATATAATTGTTAAGAAATACGTAAGGTCTTCCTTCCCACTTGGATGCATATGTATTATGTCGTCTCTGCCAAATGTTAGTTGCAATTTTTTAGTCTTTTGAGATAATTTATTTTAATTAATTAATTAAACATATATTACTGTGAAAAAGTTCTAGTAGTTAACTTAAACCCTTCACGGGTTGGAGATGGGTCCCACATATCAAATCAACAACTCTAATTTCTGAATATTATTCTAAAGAGACTGTTATCCACACTGTTAGATTGAGGTCAAGTCAACATTTGACCATGATCCAAGGGTCTATGTTAATTTGATGTTTGTGTAGTCAACATTCGACCATTATAAGTGTTCATGTCAAATTTTTGACTGATGTAAATGCAGGGGTGCGATCTTGAAAACAGTATTTTTTTGTCGTTAAATTATTTACCTAGAAAAGACCAATAATACTATTAGGCATCTAGTTTTGGCTTACGTCTGTCAAACTCCCATAGACCAACAATAAAATTATTTGTTATATGGGAGATGCCATGAGTCATGAAGAAAGATAATAAAATTGTTTTTTATATGAGAGAAGTCATAAAGAAAGATAACAAGTCCTACCTAATGCAATCCACCGACCCGGCATCTCTTTTCAAAAGGAATGCCTTTGCCTCAAATTTTGGTAATGACCTAACAATCTCTAGAAACTTATAATTAATTAACTCTAATGACTTCAGTCATTATAAAGCAAAATGCTAAGAGTCAAAAGTAGGAGTTCGTGCAGCGAAAAACATATATTTTTGAGGTTAATAACATAAGAATATAAATATATTATATAAAGAGATACGATATTTACATGGTTCGATATAAGCCGTTTACATCTACAGATGAGAGAAATCAACTGTAGTTTCATGAACATAATATATAAGAGTACATAACACCATAAACTTAATACATAATTAATAGGGCGGAATCAATCTTAGTTTCTAACCACCCTCAACCAGCTACCCAAAGCAAAAACAATCACAGTTTCTAAGACACTCTACCCATGATGTTTAATAACCCTTACATAAAATACTTTGTGTTCTCACATTTTCTAATAACTTTGAATTGGTTCTCACTCTTATATTTATAGGTAGTATATGAGACATTTTATTTTCAATAGGATTCATATTTCAATTCATAATAGTACTCTCATAATTCTATTCCTGATACAATTGTATTCTTTATTAAATAGTTTTTCTAAATATATACAATTTCACATGGGAATATATAGGAAAGAAAGTCACAATATCCCACTATAGCTAAATTTAACATTATTTGGTGTTTGATGAAAAATTACACATGGCAGTTTTTGATTCATAATAAATTTCAGTTATCATATTCTGTATTCCAATTTATATCAATGGGATCGAGTTCTCACAGGTTTCAGGGTGTTGTATGGCTTGTCGTTGTGAGCAAAGGCTATACTTTTGGGTGATATGTAATTATAAAAAAAAGAGGCCTCAAATATCAAAGATTTTACAATTGGGAAATTACCCTTACAGAACAAATTCATTTTGAAGTATAATTAGGTATAAAACTATTTGACGTATATGTAGGTTCATAGAAAAAAACCAACCAAATCCATGGAAACAGGGTAAAATAGAGGAGCTGATTTTGATTGGCAAAGGTGTATTCAAAGTACCTTTTTACGTCTTATAAAAACAACAGGCAAATTACAATATTATTCCTTTGAAATATTTTTTTAATGCTTCTATATCGTAACCCAAATGAAATAACGAATCAGAGCATGTGGAGTTTAATAAAAACAAACAACTCAGTGGTTTTGATAAAATCTATTAGTTGATCTGTGGACCTGATGAGATGAAGCTATACCTTGGTCTTGGTCCTCTTTGCCGGATCTTGTTACGTGATGAGTTGATATGTTCAATCTCAGTGGCAAGCACCCAGCAATGTGTTGAACGTTTGTAAAACAACAACTATACTGTCCATACTGATCGACTCAAGTAACATTCTGGGTTGGGTTTTCAGTTTACCATAGTTTTTCTTTTTTGCAAAGTTTTGGGGCTCAACTCTATTTCATTCTTAGCAGGATTCTCCAGAATTGATCTAATGATCAATAATTTTTTACTCTTCATGTTATGTGTTCGAATTCTATACCTTTGTTTAAAACTTCAGTATAATCATCTGGCATTCACCATATCTGACGTTTTCCATTCTAAACGAGAAAATGATCAAAATTAGATTGATTAAATATAAATGTCGGATGTCCAAGTCTTGTCTACCAAATGATAGTGTTACCAGAAGAATATTTCTTTAAGACAAAATTTAGATTAGAAAAGGTATTTTAATCATTGACCGAGTAACACCTCATGATCACAAGAAATATGACAAGTTTCTTCATACAAGTTGCACAATTTTGTGGTTCAAAAGTCTCATAAAATTACCATTTGAAATTGGAATTTTCTGAGGACTTTTTTAAAAGGGAACAGAGGAAAGCATAATACTAGATCCATAATCCAATCTCACAAGTTTCTCTCACGCAATTAGTCAGCTTACAAATGAGTCTCACCTTGCTTGCTATGGGTTCTGCTTATCCATTTGTGAACTGACCAATTGCAAGTTGTTATACCAAGGATAGTGAGAAAACATTGTAAGATTGAATTGTGAATGTAGCATTATCGTAGAGGAAAAAAGGGGACTTGGTTTTTTATTGGCCAAGTTTTCCACAATGGTTTTTCAATTCATTGACCTTTTTATTGAAATAGCAAACATAAAATCCATTGAAAGAAAATGGAGTGGGTAAAACTCATAACATAAAAAAAGTAAATGAAGTACGTGCAGGTTCATAGAATAAAACTAACCAAATAAATGGAAACATGGTAAATCAGGAGAGCTGTTTGCTATTGGTAGAGGTGTCATACTTTCTTGAACTTCAAATGGAAAAGATCTGATAACCTCCATCTTAATTCTGTGAAAAAGTTGTAGTAGTTAAACCCTTTACCCTCCGTAACTCAAGGGTGGAGATGGGTGCCATATAATTGTTAAGAAATACGTAAGGTCTTCCTTCCCACTTGGATGCATATGTATTATGTCGTATCTGCCAAATGTTAGTTGCAATTTTTTAGTCTCTTGAGATAATTTATTTTAATTAATTAATTAAACATTTATTACTGTGAAAAAGTTGTAGTAGTTAAACCCTTCGCGGGGTGGAGATGGGTCCCATATATCAAATCAACAACTCTAATTTCTGAATATTATTCTAAAGAGACTGTTATCCACACTGTTAGATTGAGGTCAAGTCAACATTTGACCATAATCCAAGGGTCTATGTCAATTTGATGTTTGTGTAGTCAACATTCGACCATTATAAGTGTTCATGTCAAATTTTTGACTGATGTAAATGCAAGGGAGCGATCATGAAAACAGTATTTTTTTGTCCTTAAATTATTTAGCTAGAAAAGACCAGTAATACTTTTAGGCTCTCTTCTGTCAAACTCCCATAAAACTAGCCACAATAGTTTTAGTTCATGTCCTGGAGACCTTATCATCTCTTTTCTATTTTTAATTTCATTATCTTCAAGACACACTCTATACTTGGCAACCTTTAAGAGGACCTCCTATTTTTTTAATTAATATTGATATTTAACTGAAGTTATAATATTGATATTTAACTAAGTTATAACTTAACAGATCATATGGGAGATGTCATAGTGAAAAATAATAAAATTATTTGTTATATGGGAAGAAAGACAATAAAATTGTTTTTTATATGAGAGAAGTCATAAAGAAAGATAATAAGTCCTACCTAATGCAATCCACCGACGCGGCATCTCTTTCCAAAAGGAATGCCTATGCCTCAAATTATTTAATTGGTAATGACCTAACAATCTCTAAATATTTATAATTAATTAACTCTAATGACTTCAGTCATTATAAAGCAAATGCTAAGAGTCAAAAGTAGGAGTTCGTGCAGTGAAAAACATAAAAATATAAATATATTATATAAAGCGACACGATATCTATATGGTTCAACATAAGCCATCTACTTCTACAAATGAGAGATATCAACTATAATTTCATGAACATAATATACAAAAGTACATAACACTATAAACTTGATACATAGTTAACAGAGTGAATCAATCATGGTTTCTAACCACCCTCAACTAGGTACCTAGAGCAAAAACAAACCCAGTTTCTAAGACACTCTACCCATGATGTTTAATAACCTTAATAACCCTTACATAAAATACTTTGTGTTAACACATTCTCTGATAACTTTGAATTGGTTCTCACCCATATACTTATAGGTAATATGTGGGATATTTTATTTCTAATAGGATTCGTATTTCAATTCATAATAATATTCTCATGATTTTATTTCTATTTACAATTGTATTCTTTATTAAATAATTTTTCTAAAACCATACAATTTTACATGGGAACATATAAGAAAGAGAGCCGCAATATCCCACTACCTCCTATCCCCCCTTAAACAACCTTCTCTCACGCAATTGGTAAGCTCGCAAATAGGTCCCACCCTGCTTGCTATGGGTCTCACAACCTCCTATTTTTTTTTTAATTAATATTTATATTTAACCAAAGTTATAATATTGATATTTAACTAAGTTATAACGTAACAGATCATGTCATAGTGAAAAACAATGAAATTATTTGTTAAATGGGAGATTTCATGGAGAAAGATAATAAAATTGTTTTTTATATGGGAGAAGTCATAAAGAAAGATAATAAGTCCTACCTAATGCCTTTGCCACAAATTATTTAATTGGTAATGACCAAACAATCTCTAGATACTTATAATTAATTAACTCTAATGACTTCAGTCATTATAAAGCAAAATGCTAAGAGTCAAAAGTAGGAGTTCGTGCAGTGAAAAACATATATTCAAGGTTAGTAACATAAGAATATAAATATACTATATAAAGAGATATGATATTTATATGGTTTAACATAAGCCACATACATCTGCAGATGAGAGAAATCAACTATAGTTTCATGAAAATAATATACAAGAGTACATAACACTATAAACCTGATACATAATTAATAGAGCGGAATCAATCATGGTTTCTAACCACCCTCAACCAGGTACCTAGAGCAAAAATAAACTCAGTTTCTAAGACACTCTACCCATGATGTTTAATAACCTTAATAATCCTTACATAAAATACTTTGTGTTCTCACATTAGCTGATACCTTTGAATTGATTCTCACCCGTATACTTATAGGTAATATGTGAGACATTTTATTTCTAACAGGATTCATATTTCAATTCATAATAGTACTCCCATGATTTTATTTTTATTTACAATTGTATTCTTTATTAAATAATTTTTCTAAAACCATACATTTTACATGGGAACATATAGGAAAGAGAGTCGCAATATCCCACTATAGCTAAATTCAACATTATTTGGTGTTTGATATTAAATGTGGCAGTTTTTGATTCATAATAAATTTCAGTTATCATATTCTATATTCCAATTTATATCAATGGGATCAAGTTCTCACAGGCTTCATGGTGGTGTATGGCTTGTCGTTGTGAGCAAAGGCTATACTTTTCAACGTGTTACGGTAGTAGAATTGATATTAAAATGATCGTCTCTAAACGATCTATCTACATATATAATTTTAAACTGGAAAAATGATTGCGTTTATTGCTAAAAATAATTGTAAATATAGATAGATCATTAGAATTGAATTATTTTGATACCAATATTGATACCTAATATCTCCAAAAAAAAAAAAAAATCAGCGATGGGATCCACAACTGCCAAATGCCAATACCAGATTCTGGCAACCGGAAATTAATCAATTAATTAAGGTTATTTTTATTTAAGTTTAAATATATTATGATAATTAGACTTGTGTATTTATAAAAAAGATTTCAGAGTTTAGAAGTAAATTACTATAGTATACTTTTCTATTAAGTGAAAAGTGCCAAAAATAAGTGGCAATTAAAAAAAAAAAAAAAAAAAAACAATCAAAACACACCCTAAGTCATTGCCATGAAAAAATTATAAAATTTTTCCTTTTATAGTTGGACAAAAGATATAAAATCAAGATTACACTAAGCCCAATATATAATTTAAATGGAATACCTGTTATTTACAGATAAGAGGACTTGTTACTTCGCTCAACTTCTTCAATGTATTGCTCAAAATCCATAGGTAAGCAAACTTGTTATCTTGCTACCCTATAATTGAAACGGACTTCCGGTATATGTTGGATAACTTTCCTCCACTTCTCTTCTTTTACCATATAATAAATTTCTTTCAACATAAGATTAAAAGTAAGAATCCTTAGATTTCTTAGATGTTCAATTCCAATTGGAATCTCTTTCAATCGAGGGCATGGTCCGATAAGTAACTCTTCAAGGCTAGGCATTGTACCTTTGTCCATAATCATCAATTCCACTCCTTTAAAGTCAAAGAGCAACAAAATTTTAAGTTTTGGAAACCAACCTTCTTTGAAATGTAATTGCTCATCGTGGCGTGTGTCCAATAGCCTAAGCTCCAATAAATTAGGCAAGGCTTGAAGGACTCTTATGGGATCATCTGTTAATCCTGACAAATTCAAACCAATTCTGACAAGATATTCAAGTTTGAAAATCTAATCTGGCAGCTTCTTCATATTTCCTTTTAAGGAGAGGCGCTGAAGACTATAGGAGGAGAAGTCATTGATTCTATATTAAGAATTTCTTCTCTACTTATCAACACTATAGTCAGAGATACAAGTTTTTCCAAATTTCCAATGTAAGCACGTATGTTTGATATTACATGTAACGTAACATGGATTATCTTTTATTTAAAAGAAGTCCCAACTGCTATAGTTAGAAATTAATAATAAATTAAAGCACAATGTTTGATACATCGGTTATAGCTAGCTTCCCAACTGCTGTTGGGACTGTTAGGATTAAATTAGTTAGATAATCCAAAGTAGGTGTTTATTATCTATATATATATTATACATTATTCTAGTACAATTCTTAGTTGAATGTAATGACAAAACTTTCCCAATTGTTCCAAAATTGCGTTAACGTTTAGAATTCCAAAATTGAAGACGGAAATTTTTTTGCTCCAAACCTTAAATATTATATTTATTTATATAATCTAACACTTCGTAGAAATGGCAAATGAACTATAATACAGCTAAGTTTAGGAATAATTATAGATAAGATCAAAGGGTGAATGCATTGTTGTTGTGAAATGAGAACATGGAAATATTCCTTAAATTCGTGAAAGACAAACATTTAGGTGCAGCCTTGAAGGCGATGAAGATATATGATTTCTTTCATAAAATATTAAACGAGCTAGCAGAGATTCTGGGCATAGAGAAGCACACCATATGGTATTGCATGCGTGTGTTCTTGTCATCTTACACAGATTTGGTGAACGTGACTAGCTTCTTTTGATCATTTATACAATGGGTGAACACGATGATAAGAATTGAACGATGATAGACACTCCGTATAACTTAGTTGTAAGCAGCTGGTGGAAAATACACTTATTAATAATGTCTTTCCATACAAACCATTAAATCTTACCGTTTGAATTATCAGATAACTGAGAAACTTCATAAAGAGAACCAAGAAAACCCACTAAACCCAGGGAAACAGGGGACTTGTTTTTTATTGGCAGAAGGTGTTCCAAAAAAGGCTTATATTTGTTTAATATCTCTTGAACGACATAGTGGAATCGGATATAAGTTACCAAACAAAATAACTGTTACAATAACAGAAGCAAACAGAAAATCTCTGTAGATGGTACCAGTAAGAACTTGGTAAATTATTAAAAAGTTCAAGAAAATTTGCCAAATCAAATATATTTGTTTATTACACAAGGAAGTTGATGAACAACTGCAGTTCATATTGCATCTCTACTGGCATTGCCTAGTTAATTGAAAAATAACACAACAACATAACTGATCAAATAATACATTACACATTTTCTCCCATGACAAATGTCGCCAGCAATACTACACCATTCAGAAGAAAGATTTCATCATCATGTTCTCACCATCGAAGAAATGTTGTCTGTTCATAATAATAGGTGAAACACAAGACAATTATTTATGGGATAGCAAAAAAAACATACTATTTTCATTTTAGAAGAGAAAAACTTACACTTCAAATTACTAGTGTTATTATTGGAGAACATTAAAGCAAATGCAAAGGGGAACTTCATATTGAAATGGTTACATTTTAAGAGACGAAAAATCAAAAAGGAGAATTCAACTGCAACTAATTTGTAAAGCTATAACAAATAATAATCACTAATGAAAAAGAATTATACCAAGCCACTGCAATGAAAATATTATAAGATTTTTTGTTCTCTCTCTTTTATTTTATATTTGGACTGAAGATATAAAACGAAGAAGCAACTTTCCCAAGTCTTATAAAGTTAAAGTGAATACCTGTCATTCATAGATGGGATGACTCGTTACTTCACTTTGCAACATTAAAATTCTGCTCAAAATCCACAGGAGAGACGGATGACAGATCCTTAGCAGTGACATAAGATTCTTTTCCTTCCTTCGAAAAAGTGACACCGACTTTCGGGATATGTTGGGTAACTTTCTGCCAATTTTTATCTTTTATCATATAATAAATCTCTTTCAACATATGTCGAAACTCAAGAAACTTAAGGTTTCTTAAATGTTCAATTCCATTCGGAATCTCTTTCAATAGTGGGCATGGTCCAATAGTTAACTCTCTAAGGTTAGGCATGGGACCTTTGTCTATCATCATCAATTCCACTCCTTTAAAGTCAGCGAGTTCCAATTTTTCTAGTTTTGGAAACCAACCTTCTTTGAAATGTAACTGCTCATCATGGTATGTCTCAATGAGCGTAAGGTGCATTAAATTAGGCAGGGACTGAAGGACTCTCATGGGATCATCAGTTAATCCTGACAAATCCAAATCAATTCTCATAATGGATTCAAGTTTAAAAATCCAGTCAGGCAGCACCTTCATATTTCCTTTTAAGCGCAAGCGCTGAAGAGACCGAAGAGGACAAACCATGGATTCTATATCAAGAGTTTCTTCTCTACTTGTGGAATATACAGCCAGAGATTCAAGATTTCCCATATTTGGAAAGCAAGCACACAGATCCTTCCCACTTGTATTTGTCAGTCTAATGCCTAACCTTCGCAAATGCTTTAGCTTCGTAAGCTCTTTAAGTTCTTCAGAGTTAGCTTCTACAAAAAATAGTTTCTGAAGATCCATTAAAGACCCTAATCCCTTGGGTATTTTCACTCCACAAATAAAATTGTTCTCAACATGGTATACCAGCAGATACCGCAATTTTTTCAGATTCTTGATCTCAAACGGAAGCTCAGCAATAAGAGAATGCTTCAAATTCAATGTCTCTAAGTTGAGATTCTTACCAATAGACTTGGGAAGTACTTTTACTTTCGTATTTTTCACACTTAAGTAGTGCAAATGGAAGAGGTTTCCCACTCCGTCAGGAAGGTACTCTATAGGACCATCTTCAAAATCTAGCACTTTTATAAGCTCAAAATTGGTAATAAGTGCAGTCATGAAAGAGTTGGGAATTTGATTAATGTTGAAGAGAAAAACAGAACGTATCTTTGAGTCACCGCTGCTCTTAAGAACACCATCAGTACCTCCTTGTATGGAAATGCGCCGTATTTTACTAGACTTACCCGAAACTTCTCTGTTCACAACATGAGAGAAGCCCAAATATTTAGTCTTTCTGAGGATGATCTCGTGCATCAGACCATGGACTCGACATATTCTAGGTCTCCCAGCAACATCTGTCTTTACCACTTGAACCACGCTTCTGTTAATGAGATCAGTCAAGAATCCTTCAGCAACTTGTTCAGCATCTTGTTCAGATAAGCGGATTTTGGAGTATGAGACAAAGCCCTCAGCTAACCATAGGCGAATCAGTCTTGCACAACTAACTTTGTAGCTTTCTGGAAACAAACCGAAGTACAAGAGACAAGATTTGAGATGGCTAGGTAGATCATAATAACCTTCAGATAAAACTCTATTACAATCTTTTAGATGGGGATCGCTTCCTAACTTTGAGCCGAGTCCATTAAGTAAGTTTTGCCATTCAGAGACAACCTGGATCTTGTTTGAGAGAAGACCACCTACCGCAACAATGGCTAGTGGTAAACCTCCACATTTTGCAAGAATATCTTGGGACAATTTTTCCAACTCTGGAGGACAACCCACCCCGCGGCCAAATGTCTTAATGCAAAAAAGCTCCCATGCCTTTTCGTAAGGCAAGGGTTGAAGCTCATGGACTTTAACAGAAGAAACTGAATCAGCAACCCTCCGATCCCGCGTTGTGAGTATTATCCTGCTTGTTTTGTTGTTAACAAGACTACCAAGACTAGGCTTTACATCTCCCCAAAATTCGGTTTTCCATATGTCATCGAACACAAGCATGTAACACTTGTCCTTCAAGTAGTCACTTAGTGTTTTGATCAGATGGCTCTCTTCCATTTTCTCTATTTCCACTGGAGCGGTTCCTATTGGACGGTAAACCTCCCGTATAATTGTCCTCAGGAGATCTTCCTTCACGTATTCTTTCCCAACTGTGATCCAAGCTTGGCAGCTGAAATGCTTCTGCACAGCATCGTTGTTATAAATTTTTCCGACAAGAGTGGTCTTGCCTAGTCCTCCTGCACCCACCACAGCAATCACTGAGCGATGAGGTGTTTCATTCACCAACAAACCAATCAATTCATCTCTAGTAGATTCAATGCCAACAACTTCAGCATCTTCAATGAAGAAGGAACCAACTCGAGAGTCATGTGGTATATCTTTTTTCGTTCCACTGCTTGATCCTTGATCACTGAAGTTATAGGCGTGTCTTCTTTCTTGGATACCAGCTAGAGATGATTTGATATCTTCAATCTTTGATGAAATTCCATGGGACAGTATCAGTTCATTTATGAAGCAACACATTTTACAAAGCAAACGCATCAGATCGCTATCGAAATCATGCGGATGTTTTGCCTTATTTAACATGTACTCATCGAGGACGTCTTCAATGTGATAAGCTTCTTCTCTCACTTGTTTAACCCATGTTGAGACACCTTCATTGCCTTCTCCTTCTTCTTCAACTGCTGCCCTTGCATCCGCATCCTTGAGGAAAGATCGGATGCTCTCCAATTCTCTTTTGATGCTTTCAACTTCTTGTTTCACTCTTCCCAATAACTTGATTTCTTCAAGAAGCAAAGAACTCAAGGTTTCTGTCACAATTTCCACTGCAGCCTCGGCCATATCTCTCCTTTTTTACTCACTTGATTGATATCAAACCAGTAGGTCTGATTTTTAAGATGCTTTCACTCATGCACACAATGTTTGATGGTTGAATATGACTGTAAATTTTTATTTATAGGAAGCCTGTAGGATAAGGACATAAATGTGAACATATTATACACATTATTCTCCTTTGCTTACCCCAAAAACTTGGAATTCTGTCTTCTACTAGACATAAGTAAGCATAATTTTTGTTCATTTTATTCTACAGCAAGTTTATTTATCATACCTCAATATAGTATTTTACTTTCTGGACTTTTATTTTTTATTTTTTTATTAATGTATCTTAAGTACATTTCTTGTTCAATAGGAATTAATGATCATACGTTTTGGTTGATTCCGCATCCTGAAAGATGATTAATATAATTCTCTGTAGATTTGGGGTTCATCGCATGGTTAGCCTCAACTACCTTAACCATCCACCTTCTAGTCGTTAAGAAATACGCAAGGTCCTCCTCACTATTTGGCATTTACAATCTTGAAAGGAAATATGAATCAAAATTTGATAGAGTAGGTTAAAATGTTGGATGCATAAGTCCTATCTGCCAAATATTAGTTGCAATATTTTAGTCTTTTGGGACATGATTTATTTCAAAAGAGTGGTTTAATTTATGATTGAGAAAGTAGCAGGTTATGGTCCAAGAGGTAAGGTAAGGTTTCTTTGTGCAAGTTGCACAATTATGTTGCTCAAAAGTCTATGAAGGAAAGGATTTTAACTGGTAAACAGAGAAAATTTAATTAATTTGGAAGATCACCATAACAGTCCTCTTACTAGCAATATGTTTCTTGTCAATACAAATAATAGTCGGTGAAATCAATACATCATTGAGTCCACAATCAATGAATATATTAGTAACTTTCAGCATATTGATAAATATAAGTTATCTTTACGGGAAATTGATTCACGGAAACAGGGCAAAACAGGGGACCAGTTTTTTAATTGGTGAAAGGTGTGATATCAATGCATCCCTCAAGTTATGCCAACTGGAATAAATTGTATGATTCTTTAGATGAATAAGAAATGAAAACTGTAAAACATTAACAACAGAACATTTTCGATAACGAGGAAATTAAAATGTTGACCGATGTAATTGAAAGATGTGGAGGAGAGAAATTTACGAGGTTTTTGTTAGAAGGGGACACAGGAAAACAGGGGACCCTGTTTTTTATTGGCAGCTACTTCCCCAAAAGGTGTATACATTATTGGAAGAAGTTTCAGTTTCAGCATGGACAGTGGAGGATTGAAGGTATCAAAAACTTCATCCAATACTTAATTTTTAACAGAATGATCACATAGGAAGGGCTTGACAGAAACTGTCACAAGGTCAAGTTAATTTCTGTACACTGTACCCACCAGTAAGCTTCACATTATCAATTCACTCAACAAGTAAAAAATGTCATCAAGTACAAAACAACCACAAGAGAAAGAAAATGCTTTAGTATAAATTCACAACCATGTTCAAATAGGAGAAAATATATATCATATAGAAATCCAAATCCTGGAATTTCGTCTTCCTCACACAAGCAATTAATAAGGAAATAACAACAGATTGACAGTACTCAGCAATAAGGAAATAGTAGATATTACAAACTGATCATTTAAAAATAAATAGCCAAAGAAATACTTGTTTATCAATGGAGAAGATGATTCACCGGTTCATCCTCATGCTTTAAGATTCTTCATCTATTCATGGGCAATAGAAGAAAAACAGTTTTCAACTAAATCTGAGTAACGAAAAGAGTGTATAATTCATAGATAATTAATGATTAATTAGAATCAGCATCAAAAGCAATTTTACAAGTATGTAGTTTCTTACAAGCTAATCCAACTATTAAATTATTTTTAGAATATGTTTGGTGACATTCTCCCAGTTCTCATTTTTTATCATGCAATAAACCTTCAACATCATAATAAATACAAGTAACTTTAGGTTATTGAGATGCTCAATTCCAGTTGAAATCTCCTTCAACAAAGGGCATGGTCCAATATAGAGATATTTAAGACTAGGCATTGCACCTTTCTCTATCATCATGCATTTCAATCCTTTCAAGTTCTTGAGATACAACTCTTGGAGCTTACGAAACCAACCTTCTTTGAAATGCAATTTTTCATCACAGTCATGCACATTGAGAATAAGCATCAATAAATTAGGCAGAGCTTGAAGGATTATCAGGGAATCATTGGTAGATCCATTAAAACACAATTATAATCCGATTAGATTTTGAAGTTTAGATATCCAAACTGGTATAATTTCAATAAATAACCCTCGCAAATGAAATCGCTGAAGAAATAAAGGAGGAAAAGCCAAGGATTGTATATCAAGAGGCTCTTCTCCACTTGTAAACGCTGATACACTCAAATCTTCAAGGTTTTCCATATTTTGGACAGTAGCAAACAAATCCTTCTCATCTCTATTTGTGACCTTAAGGGCCTGCCTCAGTTTCCTAAGCTCTTCAAGTACTTTAGTGTTTGTATTCACATATCGTAGCTTCTGCAACTCTGTTAAAGCCCCAAAACCTTCTTTTACTTTTGCTCTACCTCCATAAGGACCTTTGTTGTCCCAGCGTCGTACAATTAGACAATGCATTTTTTTTCAAATTCTTGATCTCAAACGGGAGCTCAGTCACATAAGTCCACTTCAAATCAAGAGTCTCTAAGTTGAGAAGCATGCCTATGGACTTTGGAAGTTGTTTAACTTTTGTATTTTTTGAACTTAAATAGTGCAAATGGAAGAGATTTCCCACTCCATCAGGAAGGCAATCCAAAGGGAAATTTTCTAAATCAAGTCTCTTCAAAAGCTTAAACTCAGCAACAAATGTAGTCATAAAAGACTCGGGCAATTTGTCTACACTGAAAAGACAAATAGATCTTTGAATTTTTTATGCTCTTTAAAACACCATTAGTGCATTTGTGTATTGCAATACACCAAGTTTTGCTAAAGTGACTCAAGTCTTTTTTATTAAAGAAATGACAACAATCACATTCCTTCATCTTTCTGCTAATAATCTCGTAAATCAGATCATGAACTCTACAACTTCCAGCTTATCCAGAAGCATTTTTTTCTGAAACTTGAACCAAGCTTCTATCAATAAGTTCTTTCAATTATTCTTCTGCAACATGCTCAAATGGAAGGTGGTTGTTTGGACAAAGCCTTCAACTATCCAGAGGCGAATTAATCTCCCAAATTTAATTTCGCAGCCTTCTAGAAACACACAAAAGTATAAGAGACATGACTTGAGATGGTGAGGGAGATCATAATAACCTTTAGACAAAACTTTGTTGCAATCTTTAAGATGGGAATCACTGCTTAATTTTGAGACCAAACCATCAAGTATATTTCCCCATTAAGAAACAATCTTGTTTTTTCTTGAGAGAACTCCACGTATCGCAACAATTGCTAGGGGTAGACCTCAGCATTTCCAATGATATGTTCCGACAATTCCATCAAGTTTGGAGGACAATAGCCCTCAGAGCCAAATGCCTTTCTGCAAAAACAGCAAATTAGTTTTTAGGAGGTGTGAATTGGTTGGAACTTGGAAGGGAAAATAATTTTTCTTTATTCATCTTTTGGTGATTTGAAGTAAGGTATCTATGCTTTATTTAATTTCCAACCATACACTTGGAGGGAAAAAGACTTTGTCTTTCCTCATCTTTTGGTGATTTGAAGCAAATTATCTATGCTTTTATTTAATTTCCAACTGAACACTTGGGAGGGAAAAGAATTTTTCTTTCCACATCTTTTGGCGATTTGAAGTAAATTATCTATGCTTTATTTAATTTCCAACCAAACACTATGTTAATTTTGAGTTCGTTTTGTTCTTTGCTTGATGTTCACTGTTTCATTTGAATTACTTAATTTAGAGAACATTGCCTGATGCTCAAAATGCACGATTCCTTAGAAAGCAACATAGTGGATATAAATTACAAACACAACTATAACATCATAAACAAGACACTCTCAGTTCATACTACAAGTGAATTTAGATATACCAGATCCCATATACTATAAATTATCTGGACAACGTAACAAGTAACACATTGATAAATTTGCAAGCAATATTACAACACATATTACATTCTAATAGCAATTAACACATTGACAAGAAATAGCCATTGAATTCCTGATTGACGAATTGGAAAGACGACTCATCAATTTATTCTCACGACTGTAGATACTTCATCTGTTCGTGGTAGTCATTTCAAGAATAATTAAAAACAATTGTAATGGATGTGATGCAAAGGGAAAGAATGGTAAATATAGCCAAGAGAAATGAGACATTACCAAAGATTACATGTCAAGTAACAAGAAATAGCCATTGCATTCATGATTGATGAATTCAGAAGACGACTCATCAGTTTATTCTCACGACTGTAGATACTTCATCTGTTCATGGCAATCATTTCAAGAATAATTAAAAAATAATTGATGGATGTGATGCAAAGGAAAAGAATGGTAAATATAGGCAAGTGAATTGAAACATTACCAAAGACAACATGTCGAGTAACTTTCTTCCATTTCTCATCTTTCATCATATAATAAATTTCTTCTAACATAAGATAAAACACAATAATCCTTAGGTTTCTTAGATATTCAATTCCAATGGGAATCTCTTTGAATCGAGGGCTTGGTCCAATAAGTAAGTGTTCAAGGTTAGGCATTGCACCTTTGTCTATAATCATCAATTCCACTCCTTAAAAGTCATAGAGTTTCAAAATTTTTAGTTCTGGAAACCAACCTTCTTTGAAATGTAATTGCTCATCATGGCATGTGTCCCACAACCTAAGCTCCAGTAAATTAGGCAGGGCTTGAAGGACTCTCATGGGATTATCAGTTAATCCTGACAAATCCAAACCAATTCTGACAATATATTCAAGTTTAAAAATCCAATCTGGCAGCTTCTTCATATTTCCTCTTAAGTAAAGGCGCTGAAGACCATGAGGAGGAGAAGTCATCGATTCT